CCAGCGGAGGAAATCAGGAAGAACCGCCGGAAGTGGATAGGACGGACATACATTGGGGAAAGCACCCTACTGCGTCGTCACAAGACAAGCCCTCACTTGGAACCCTCAGAGTCGAAATAACAGAGGAAGATGAAGTAACACACACATTACGTCGAGAAACGGAGACAGACATGAAAAGAATGAACAAACGTTGGACAGAACTAGGAAAGCCGAGGACAGTGTAGGCCGGAGAATGCTGATCAGATGTCTATGATCCACTAGGGTAAGTAAGTAACCCGATCGTAGTTATTACCTTTGTATTGGTCGAAACTAGTTGTCGTAACGAATCAGTTGAGCTGTGTTGTCTCGGAAACTTGCTATTTGGGGTCCTAATTTGACAGGTAAATCATTTAATATAATAAAATACTAAGAGTAGTAATACTCAAATATCAGGGTGAAGTTATACTGCTTATGTACTGGGGTATTTTGATAGTAAAGTGATTCTCACGGATGACTAACCTCCATAGCAATACTACCTGCTCACCTTGCCTCGCTGATTGACAGTGTCGACGGTAAGCTTTGAATAATATGTAACTAGTAAATCAAAAACTGACAGGAAGGTAGTGGGACTGGTGCCAGGTATTTGTCCTTCTGTGACTAATCTCTGAGTCCTCATGAATGTTAAGACTACTGGTGTGGTGCGCGCTACTTATAAGTAGTATATGACGTGAGTGTACACGTAATGTCTGGCAGCAGATGATGGGGGAAGATCAAGAAAGGAAGAGTGGGAACACAATGGAATTTGTATGAAACGCATGAATAGTGAAATGTCAGACAATGAATTGAAGATTTGCAAATTAACGGTTACTATATGGTTTTGCTATTTTACTGAGTAACTCTGTAATTTCCGTTAAATACAATTCGGTTGCCCTCACCTGTGTTCTCCTTCACTACAGTGGTAACCCAGTTTCCTCATCAGGCACGTCAAGAGGGTTTGCGCTAACGTGTAGGAATTGGCAAGTGACAACTGACAAAATACCTCAACTTGGTTAAAATCAATACTTTTCTGCACATCTTAACGTTCCCTCTGCTTCAACTAACAACTCTGCTATTTTCCACACATACCTTAGGCGTTTATGATTCAGGATCGTGAAATATTATTCCAAGTCTCCTTAAATGGAGCTTCATACAATAATTTGAAGCTTTTGATATTTGAGTCATATATCGAACTAGGTGATAAGTTACTTTAACTAAGACACTGGATTCAGCTGAACTGATGTTTGTCGTGTCCAAGAAAGCCAAATACATTAAAAGAATGTTTTAATCAGGGATTTGCTAACTGGTCTAAACATTGAGCCACCGATGCGAATAACATGGTGTTAGCGTTAAGTCACATTAACATAGTATATAAATCTTGTTAGTAGATGTTAACCGGCATGAATTGTTCGTTCCTAGGCTTCATGACGACGAAAGTCAATCATCTATTATCAGAGTTACTTAGTGTTAAGAATTACCAAAGATGAGTGTGTTATGCAATATGGGGACAAATAAAAATGTCACCAACTGTCAATCCTAGAAACAATTTATTCAATCTTCAGTAGTTATCATGTCCAATCAATTATGCTGGGCCAACAATATTAATAGATATTCATATTACACTTAAATTAATCAATCATGCTAAGTAAGTGGATTTATTTTTCCTTCCACTGTATTTCAATTTAGGTTTACTTTATATTTCAGGCAAACTATCAAAACAGTTGTTGATAATGATGCATCCTTTGTCTGGGTAATAAACTTAATAACACTTGTTTAAACAGTGTGATTCCATTTAATAATTAATGATCCACACTGAGGAAAAAAGAAACAGGCGGTTAGAACATTTTAAGGAACTCTTGAATTGACCAACCTCACTGAACTCACCCAACATCGAAGCAGCATCTACGGACCTATCAACAATTAACGTTGGCACACCAACAAGTGAAGAAATCAGTATGGCCATCAGACAAATCAAGAGTGGCAAAGAGGCGGGACCAGACAACATTCCAGCAGAGGCAATGAAAGCAGACATAGCATTAAGATTTGGGATGAACAAATATCATCAGATTGGAAAGAAGGATACCTGATCAAAATACCAAAGAAAGGCGATCTTAGCAAGTGTGAGAACTACAGAGGCGTCACTCTTCTCTCAATACCAGGAAAAGTCTTCAACAGGGTATTGTTAAACAGAATGAAGGACTTTGTAGATGCCCAACGTCGAGATCAACAGGCTGGAATTTGGTAAGGATCGATCGCGTACTGACCAAATTACGACATTACAGATCATTGTGGAACAATCAATTGAGTGGAACTCACCACTCTATATCAACTTCATTGACTACGAGAAAGCATTCGATAGCGTGAACAGGACAACACTATGGAGGTTTTGGCGTGCCTGAGAAGATAGTCAACATACGAAATTCTTACGATGGATTAAACTGCAAGGTCGTGCAGAGATGACAGCTCACAGACTCATTCCTAGTGAAAACCGGTATCAGGAAAGGTTGTTTACTCTTACTTATGGTGATCGACTGGATTATGAACACGTCAACATCTTGTGGGAAGTACAGAATACAGTGATCAGCTAAGATGCAGCTGGACGATCCAGACTTCGCAGATGATCTGGCTCCTATATCCAACAAGCAACAAAAAAAAATGCAGATGACCAGTGTAGCAGCAGCAGGCCTCAACATAAACAAGGGAAAAGGCAAGACTCTCCGATACAACACAACATGCACAAGCCAAATCACTTTTGACGATGTCTTGAGGGACTTAAAAACCTTTACATATCTGGGCAGCATCATTGACCAGCAAGGTCAGGTCTGATGCAGATGTGAAAGCGCGGATTAGCATTTCTTCAGTTGAACATCTGTAAATGAAAACAACCATCACTTACATCAAAGTCAGAATTTTCAATACATATGTCAAGATAGTACTACTGTATGGGTTGTAAACTTGGTGAACTACGAAGGCCATCATCCATAAGTGTTACGCGTGCGTGTAAACATGTCAATTTGATGGGCTTGAACTATTACGAGTTTACCTTATTCGGAAAATGAGAGCGAGGATCCAGAGACACGACAGGCTACTAGAATCCGATTGTTCTAAACCACGATTGAGTAAAAGAAGAAGACTTAATATGAAGCAGAACATGTATTCTACAAGCATCCAGAAAGCACGAGGTTCGAGTCCAGAAGAGATTAAGCATCTGTGTCATAAAACATTACAGAAAATGCGTATTTATACAGTTAGGTCGAATAAGAAACAACACCGAAGTCTGTGACAGTGATAGGTCAGGACGACCAATAAGAAACAATATTTAAATCATGTGACAGTGATAGTCAGGACGACCAATAGAATTAGACTTACAAACAATTATATTAGGATAATGGATAAATATCCTAACAATAAGATGAAAGTGTTTATTAAAAGTTGTCTACACAAAATACTTTGGGTCCGTAGACCAGACACCATCAGCAACAACCTACTATGTGAGAGAACAAACCAGATATTCCAGCGGAGGAAGGAATCAGGAATGAGCGCTGCAAGTGAGTAGGACACACATTGTCCGAAATCATCATCAACTGCGTTACAAGAATTGATTAGATAGAGTTACTGGTCAAACAAACATTAAGCACTTATTACAAAGACTAAAAGATCATATGACATTACTCCTCCCCAACGCGTTTTTGAATACTGCTCCACCAAATGACAAGTGTGATGATACTAAAAGACGAAGTCAGTCAGTATTATTTATCCCGTCTCATAATTTCCACACAAAAAAAAATATCTAACTAAGCTAATAACAACAAACTGTAATACAACATAAACTCTCCAAAAAAAACAGAAAAACATAGAAAAAAAGTTACTCAATTACAAGGGAGGAAGAAAAAAAAAGTGAGTAGTAACCAATAGGATTTTATTCAAAGAACTAAGATAGATAGATAGATAGATACACCATGCGAAACAAATTAAAAAATTACAACTAACCAAAAGAGTAATAAAAAAAATAAATAAATAAAGAAGCATTATTCATGTACACGTACACATAATTTGAAGGGGGAAAAAACAAAAGTATCACTTAAGTAGTAGTAGTAGTAGCCGTAGTAGTAGTAGTGGTAGTATAAGTATAATGTGACAACAGTTTCCAAACAAGTTCTACTTCTTCTTCAATAAAAAACAAAATGAAGCAAGCAATCTAACAAACAAGATGACAATTTGACTGAGATACAAATTCAATTCAATTCAAACACAATGATAGGCAGGCAGGCAGACCGACCGACAGGCAGGTAAATAGGGAAAGTAGAGCTAAGAGTAAATGGATTTAGAAAGATTTCAGAAGATTAAACAAAACTAACAATGTGTTTGTGTGATAAAAAGTGCATTTTACAAAAAAATAAGATTTGTATCAGAGAGAGAGAGACTTTTGTTGATCACTATGTAGAATAACAATAATAATAATAATAAGAGTAAGAATAGAAGATTCAATATAATTTAAACACACTATACATGCATTTGGTGCTCTGGCATTATGTATATAAAGCGAATGAGAAGGAAGAGAGAGAGAGAGTCTGGCAGATGATGATAGTATCATTTATTATTAGACAAGTGCCACGTCAAAATTGAATAATACTTTTGCCTATCACAACTACTCTATATTTTAGTAAATTTTTTTTTCAGATTTACATTAGCAGTAGCAGCAGCAGTAACTATTTGGTGTTAACTGATATGGAAAATAGTTGAATACACGCACGCACGCACGCACACACACACAGAGATAGAGAGAGAGGGAGGGAAAGGCATTTTCACTGATTGTAGAGAGAGAAGTATGCTTAACGGAAGCGAAGTAGTAGTAGTAGTAGTAGCAGGCAGTAACTAAATTACAAGAGAAGGTACAATAGTAGAAATGAAGAGAGAAAAGAAAAAACAGGAACCAACAAACATGAAACATTCAATACAAATTGGTTTCGCGCATGACAGTAGCAGTAGTAGTAGTAGTAGTAGTAGAGGAAAAAATGTCAGGTACGTATTCGAAACAAATAATTCGTTTATATTTAATCTATGATGTGAACGGAGGGAGAAATGCCACAGAAAGTGTGTTTTTGTTCAAAAAATAGTAATAATAATAATAAATAGTATTATAACATAATATAACACAGCACAGCACAGTACAGCACAAAGTGTAGACCCATAATAAATAGTGTTACTCTTTAAGAATGATAATGGTCAAATTAAAACCTATGTAATTTTCAACAAATTTATCCGTTTTTGCTGGCTTCACAGTATTGACTCGCACAATCTCATCAACATCAACATCATCATCACCATTGATAAAATGTTCAAATAAAAAGCATATCATCAAGGATGAATGGTGGATTGCCACAAATAGAAAAGTGGGGTCCGGTATGTGTTTGTTTATTTGTTGGTTTATCACACTGCTGCACAAGTAAATTATTCAATGGACAACAACATGTGTGTGTATATGTGCATGTGTGTGCATGTGTGCGTCTTTTCACAGTCAATCAATCAAATTAGTAAGAAAAACTGATTTAACCGGCAGGCAGAAATTCTTCGCTTTTTTTTTTAATAAGGCTTATGAACAAATAAGAAAAAGACAAAAAACTCAATTCTGAATGATTACAACATCATCGCCTCATTGAATAAAACAACACGGCGGGACAGCAGTTTGAATGAATGAATGAATATGGATTTACATACAGGACACACATGGGAAAAAAGAATAAAGGGGATAGAATTTGTTAGTTAGTCAATTAGTTAGTTAGTTGAGCAGGATGAATGGCCCCATTCATTGAGGGACCAGTAGTAAACAAAAAAGGGAACATATTTTTTGAATAAAACTGTAAGTATTGAAGTGAATTATTATTTGTATTGGCAATGACGATCTATGCTATGTATAAGTGCCTGTGCCACATACGCACACACACACACACAAACCAGTGTTAAATAAATAAGTTTCTGTGCTTTTGATTATCAATGTTAATTAACAACTAATAAAACAGTTTGTGTAAAACAAAATTAAAGAACAACAGTTTTATATATATATATATATATATATATATATATATATATATATACGTATATATGAGCATAAAAATTAGAAACTGTATATTGATAATGATATGATGAGAAATATCATTCGCTTGCTATACGTTGTACTCTCTCTCTCACGCTCTCTCTCTAGCTCTGTCTCTACACTTCAGACGGAAGCTCTGTTACACACACGCACACACATATACAATGAATGTGTTGTTATTATTATCATCAGTATTGACAATCAACAGAGGAGTGATCACACAGTGATTGATTGACTGACTGACTGATTGACTTGATTGACTGATGGATCATGGTATACGAGCAGGCAGTCTAGCTTGATTGCCAGCAGTGTTTACACCTTGATATTGATATTTCGCTTTCTTCTCAGACGGTTTAAGTATCTGAAGTGAATAAAGGCAAGTAAATAAAAAGAGAGAAATATAATATAATAAACAATAGCAAACATCTTTTTTTATCAGTTTATTGCTTAAACGATAATCATTATAACTAATTCAACATGATAGACGACGAATCTTAATTCAGCAATCATTGAATATCATGAAAGTATTGAATAGTTATTTCCGCTCAGTACAAGTAGTAGTGAACAACTACAATCTAATTAGAAATGAAACTCAGTACCGACGTTTAAAGTTTCGCAGCGAGCGTTTCATTATCTTACCTTATACTACAAAAATAAAAATACACTCATCACCGATTCAGTCAGTCAGTTGCAACGTCGAACTTCGTACGTAAGTACGTACACAAGTTCATGTTGCCATACCACATTAGCACAGAGATGTAATTGTCAATTCAAATCCAATAGTAGTAGTAGTAGAGGTAGTAAGGGAATTAGAAGTAATCGAAGAGGTTAGGATTAGAAGATATTATTCAAGAAGTATGATTCAGTGAGAAAAGTTTAGAAAGTCAAAACTAGAGGTGTTGAAGAATCCAGAAGATTAGCATAAATGCACCCGCGCCATTGCGAACGATTTTGAGCCATGTCATTCAGGGTATCTAACCATCGATTATTATCATCTCGCGGACCCCAACCAGGTAGCCGACAATTACAGACATGGCTAAGTCCACTCGTCAATGACTTCATGCATTTCTGCCATGTTTTGGTCTGGCCGCCCCTAACTTTCTTCCAACCTTCTACCTACACTACAAAACAAAGCTCTTCGAGGAGGTCCGTGGTTAGGCATCCGAAACACATGTCTCAACCACCTCAACTGATGAAGTTTCACCACTTCATCTATTGATCTACGATTCTTACCTAGCACCCGATTCCTCCTAATGACAGCGTTGCTCATTCGGTTGTCCCGGGATATACGAGCAATGCTTCGAAGACACTTATGATCGAAAACCAATAACCAACGAATATCTTCTACTCTCACTGGTCATGTTTCACAGCCATAAAGTAAGACGGAGCGAACTGCTGCGCAGTACACTCGCCTGCGCCATAAGTGAGGTAGCAGCTGTCTAACTGAAGGCATTGAAAGATCACTAAGCAACATTGTGCAATAACTGAAATGGCGAATGTAAATTAATGCATACTGATTCAATGGACTAAACGACAAGCGCCAGTGTTAGGTTGTAGATGTAAAGTGCAGTTTCACAACGTCTAAGCAGTCAGTAGTTGGGAATATGTAACACATGTTCCAACTACCTCAACTGATGAAAATTCACTACTTCATCAATTGATCTGTCATTCTTATACAGTATTTTTTTCGGTGGACCTGGGATATTTCAGCAAGACATCGGTAATCAAACACTAGTAACCCACGAATACCTTCCATTCTTAGCGGCCATGGTTCACAGCTGTAGAGTAGGACGGAGCGAACTGCTGAGCAGTAGACTTGTTTTTTTGGTTAGCAAGTGGACACCCCGCCTGCACCATAAGAGACACAAGTTGACGAAAGCCAAATCCGTGCTGGGATTTTGTCAGTCACCACCAACCAGTCCACCAGAACTGATGAGACTTCCAAGATAAGTGAAGCGGTCAACACGCCCAACTATTTCACTGCAGCGCGAGCGAAACTAAAGAAGCCATAAAGGATGTGCCCATCATCTTCATACATCTTACATCAGTAGTATATCGACTGATACACACTGTCAAGGACCAAGCTTCGTTAAAATTAATTTTTACTTCAGTTTGTAATTAATTGTATAACAAGATATTTGATGATTTGAGGACGATGAACTGATCTAATTTCAACAAGTGGGAAATTCACTTTAATATATATTTTTAGTACCGTCGACAAGCAGCGACACCATAGGTGTAGAATAACAATATGAATGTCGACTCTATCACTGAAAACATCTGATCAATTTAGAAATAACAACAGTTATTGATCGATACTATCCCACTGTCCTCCCAATTAGCATAAAAGGGTAATACTGTTGTTACAGGAGTAACCAGACCTTTTTAGTCAAATGGTATTAAAGTTTGAATTTGCTGACTTTTCCACCGCTATGTCACTGTGAACAATGTCGCGTCAAGCTGTCAAAGCTTTGTATATAATGAGCGTTGAAGCTGAATTGGCACAATATCAATTATTTTCTAACTAAATATATGTGCGCATACGCACACACACACACACGCATACACAGAAATAGTTTATTCAACATCAATAATGGGTAAGAAGAAAGTTTACACGATCAATTGTTATGATACAATTAATCAATAAGACAGTAATATTCTGATGTTATTACACACGTGTTCACGAACGAACCAACACGACTTGTAGAATAGAATTTATTTATTGTACAGCAAAAACAAACAAGTATTGATTATCATCATCTTGCCCAGTTGAAAATAACAACAATAACATCAACAACAGCAACAAACGACAAACAACAACATCCTAAACAAATGTTGTTATTTTTTCTACACACACAGAGAGAGAGAGAGAGATCAATAACAGACACACACACACAGCAGAGAGAGAGAGACATTACACACTACAATCAGATGATTGAATGCGAAATTAGTGTGTGTGTGTGTGTGTATGGTTGAATGAAATACAACAAAGTATGCGCATTAGATATTTATAACTGTGTGTTTGTGTGTAGTGTAGTGTAGTGTTAAGAAAATAAGCAAACTGAACGAGAAATTTCTAACAAACTTTGAAAATTTGCAATAGGATGTATGTACTGACTGATGCATAAATATAATACACAACAAGCAAATACGCGCGCGCACACACATACACACATTGACTGTGTTTCAATTTTTGTGATATAATAATAATAATAATAATAGTAATAGTAATAACAACAATAACACACAGCGGATGAATGAATGAAAAAAAAAGAAAGCACATAAGTAGTAAGTATTGATTGAGTAAGGGAGGAGTGGTTGGTTATCTACGAAATGATGGCGAAAAATAAGAACATTGATATACTTCTACTACTGGTGGTGTTATAATAACATGGTGATGTATAATCTCTATTATTTATTTATCTCGATTGTCGATCAATAATATATATATATATATATATATATATATATATATATATATATAAACGATTTCATCACTCTCAGTCAGCGTAGAATCTCTAGCACCAATTGGTGGTGTACCATTAGCTGTATGTAATATAGCCTTAGTCTTAGAGTAAAAGTCAATGAATGACTTTATTGATATTATCAATTGCATGTCATGTTTTGTTTGGTTTGGTTGCCCTTGGCTTTTCTTTTAACTTGCCACCTCCTCATTAGCATATTTGTGTTCATCGTCTCTGGTTCGATGATCGATCAAAAAGTACACTCACTATATACAACATACCACCACCAAGTTACATTATTATCGAAAAGGAGTACATGGTTAATCCACGATGTTGGAACACAGATAAGATAGCTTTGATAGCATTGGTCTTGGGTATAATGAAAGCTATCAATAAATGTGAAATGTTATCAAAACAAAGTTGGTAGATTGGTTGAGATTGAATATTTGTATGGATTACCATATGCAATACACATTTCCTATCTACAATCAGTGTCTGCAAAATGCTGCATTGATAATTTCTGAATAAAAACTGGAAAAAGCTAACACCAAGTGGGGAGAAGACAAAAAATGTCATTCTTTGTCATTGAGAGAGAGTTTAAACACATCCATATTATATCTAGTCTTAGTTTTATAATCATTAAGAAGAGCCCAAACAGGTTTCTTTGCGATATTTTTATTACGTCCAGTAATGTGCTAACAAATATGCGCTCGTGCTAGAGCATGGTCTGAGTCTAAACAAAAGCTCCAGAATGAGCGGCAGTCTTCAACGGAGCTTCTCCACCGGTGGCTTATAACGATGTGATCTAGTTGGGTTCAGCGTTGGGACGACTTTGGGGGTCTCTAGGTCAAAAGGTGTTTTACCTTATGCTCAAAGTTAGTGTTTGCTAGAAATAGGCGGTTATATGAGCATAGTTGCAACAGACGGTCGCCATTATCTGTTCTATTGGCCACGACACCATAAAATCCACCAAGGTGTCTTTCCTTTCCACTCATTCTACTAACTTGAGCGTTAAGGTCACCAACCATTACTACTATATCAGAGCGCCTAACTTTTTGGAGGTTCGGAAGCTTTCTGTAAAACTCATCTTCCAGCTCCTCTGAACTGCAGTCCGTGGGAGCGTAGGCAGATACGATGAAGAGGCAACGGTGAATGTCCCTCTCTTTCTGAGTCCTTACTGTCCCGTTTAGTCGGACATCGCATAAGCGACTGTCTACCGGGATCGTGTCTAAGAGAGCTTGTTCTGCCCTAGGACTTAATACTATAACTACGCCGTCGAGGCCACGAGAAGCGGCATCAGTGCTTCCAGAAACACGGAGCGTACACCTTGTTGTGTCTCTATCTGCACTAGCTGAAATCAAACTGATGATTTTACTCGGATCTTGTATGCGTGTTTCGAAGAAGCAACATACATCGATCGCCCGGGATTCCAGAGTCCTGGCTATTGAAGCCTGTTGTACAATTTGGCATAGGGTCCGAACATTAAAAACTCCTATATGTAATTTCATACCGGGTCTCAAGAAACCAGGAATTATGTTTCGTGAGCTCGTGCCGTTTTTCTCAGTGGCATGAGGTGATAAACGATTGAGAGGAGGGTTGGTCGAGGAGATAAGAGAATTATTAAGAGGTGTATAAAGGATTTGATTGTGACCAATTTGGTCTCGTGTGCCGTTACGGGTATGACGGCAAATGTTACTTCCCGGCTACCAACACCGTGGAAGGGTGTTTCTTGATGAACCTGCAAAAGGAGGTACATTAGTTTTGGTCTTAACGACCTGGGAGCGTGACCGTAGAGTCCAACGGACAACTACTTGAGGCCGGTCACGCACGGCCTTTTTATTAAAGGTATTTTGCGTATTAGCTCCACTCTTAAAAGCGCTTAGTGGACACCCTTACCGCCAGAGACGGAAATCAGTGAGGTAAGGTGAGGTGTGACATTTTTAGGGTCAACCTTTTCTAACCCCTACCTTCCTTGTGAGAGGGCAGCATCGCTGTAGATACTGGTTGTCCGAAGGAAACACCTTACTGCTGTCACACCCCTCAACAGTCAGCAGTACGACTTCTTCCTCAGACCATGAGAAGCTGCTTTTAGTCTGATCGTCCTCCAATCGACCTGTCTGGCATGGTAGAACCTAAAGGTATATACATTCCATCCAATATAGCTCGGTTGGGTCATCACGGTAGGCAAGCCCGACCACCACGTCAAGGGAGCAGCTATGGTCAGGAGACAATAGCATGCACTGTACAAGTGAACAACACATATCTTTAATGCGAAAATAGAAGAATGAATGGTCATATTGTTACCGACAAACATATATACAATATATATAAATATATGCATTTTTAGTTGAGATTATTAAAATTACAATTAACTGAAAAAAAATACTTACCTGAAATGAACAAGTTAAATGCTCATTGACAGACATCATACCACCGGCATTGTCAAATTCACCGCAATAATTCGGTGCAGAAAATAAAGTAACTAATTGGCGACGACAGAAAAATTCAAAACCATCTTCAACAACTTGATGCGCTCGACAAATCAAATCCATATCATGTCTGTTAAGAAATTTCGTCACTACATCTGGACCGAATGTGAAGCTTACACCACGATCATTTTCAGCCCAACCATTAACATCTTTATCCGGATCTGACCATAAAATATCGCATAATAGTCCTTGAAATTAAAAAAAAGTATAATAAAGAAAATAACTGGAATGATGTATCTTTGTGGAATATAAGAAAATATATTTCGAAGCGTAGTAGTAGTAGTAGTAGTGTACGTACGCTAGAACCATTCAGTGAGTTGGATGCAGGATACCAAGTAAAGATAGGAAACTGGTTGATAAGGCTGTGAATCTTTATCAATTGAGGTAATTGGGTAATGTATGCCTAACCACCGCCTACTGGATTTGAGATGTAAGGGGCGGGTAGACCAAGAAGTAGCAATAAACCATTTACTGTTGGGTTGAGTCCGTTGGTAAATGAAGACTACTTGGTTAGGATACTCAAGATTATCGTGACAAAAGTTGGATATGGAGCGACGATGCTCAGAAGCAGCCACAATAGAGCAAACGAACAAATCCATATATTCACACTTCAACAGGTCCTGAAACACTGACACACATTTAAGTGTCCGACAAAAATGTACTTCTGGATCTTACAGCGCTATTTGACACTGTCGATCATGACGTTTCATGGTATGGTCTGTCACTGAAAAGTGTACCAAAGTACAGGCTCTCTACTCGAACACTTTTGGTCGAGTCAGACATTATGGCAAACTATCATCGGAATTCCTTACTTCAAGTGGCGTCCGTCAGGGATGTCCACTTTCTCCATTCTTTTTTAACTTTATCAGTGACGTGCTTTCATTATCTGACGTTTCAGGAGTTCGACTTTTACAAGCAGATTCGATTGTTGATTTAGATGTCGATGACATCGTTCTACTTAGGGTGAAAACGCTGACAAAATGCAGCGTCTTCTGACCGCCCCAAGCAACAATACAAGCATATTTGGAATGCGATTCTCCCCCCTCAAAATGGAAAATTTTGTCTCAGGATTGGCTTACATCGGCGTGTTGACCGCTTTTCTTATCTCATCAATGCTCATGGCCTGGTGTCTGACGAAATCTCACCGCGGATACAGAAGGATCAATTAACTTTTGCCGACTTGCGTCATATATGGTGTAGGCGAGATATCCGTTTGCTAACTAAAGGACGAGACTACTGCGCGATAGTTCGCTCTGTTCTACTTTATGGGTGTGAAACATGGCCAGAAAGAGGAGAGGATAATTGTAAGCTACTGGTTTTCGATCATAGGTATCGCCAAGGCATTGCTGATGTACATGCTGGGACAACAGCGTAAGTAATGTTATTGTTAGGAAAAGAGTACTAGGTAAGAATGGCAAGTCAATAGATGAAGTATTCAAACTTCATCAGTTGAGATGATTGGGAAATGTGCTGCTAACGCAGTGTATACTACCTGGTCGGGGTCCGCAAGATGCTAGTAACCGATCGTTAGAAACCTTGATTGATATGGACCAAAACCGTCTGTAACGATGCAGATACATCCATCCTTTGTGTTCTCTCAAATTCGAATCCTCTGGATTCTTCATCACCCTTATCTCTCTTTTTTAAAGTTGATCTCACTGAATTATAACTCCTTGAATAATATCTTTGAACTCCAATTTCTCGGATTACTGCTGATAATTCTACTACCTTTACTACTAAAGGGTTTGAATTGACGATTCTCTCTCTCTCTCTCTGTGCTAATGTGGTATGGCAACTTGAACTGATGTACGTACATACGATGTTGAACATTGTAACTGACTGACTTACTTACTTATGATCAACATGACGGCAGAAACATTATCGTTATCAAGACACAAAAACCAGAATACTTATGAAACCCAGTAACGAAGATAATCATTATTTTGACTAATATCTCTTGTTCATTAGAAATTAACCTTTGAATGTACAAGGTTTGTAGAAACATTGAACACTATAATTCACAAAAAAGGATCAGTCACAGTCAGTAGCAACGAAGAACTTGATCTGGACGTAGATCAGTTTAAATTGCCAAACCACAATAGCACAGGAAGATTGAATCCTCTGTACAAATCTTATACCAGAAGAAGTGGTAGTTGTATTAGCGGTAATGGAGAAGATTAGTGATCGAAGATATTATTCAACAAGTATATCTCAGTGAGATAATTATAGAAAGAGAAACATACACACGATGAGGAATTCAGAAGATTAGAATTTGAGAGAATACAAAGAGTGGATGCGCCTGCGTCTGCGCCATCGCAAACCATTTTGAGCCATGTCGTTCAAGGTCTCTAACCATTGGTGACTTTCATCTCACCGACCTCAACCAGGTAGTCTACATAACTCAGTCCACTTGTCAGTGACTTCATGCATTTCTGCCATGTTTTAATATGGCTGCTTCTATACCTTTTTTTCAGCCTATCTATCTATCTATCACTACGTCAGACAACAACGATCGACAAGGTAATCAATCGGTGGTTGGACCATAATACATAAACGTAGCACATGTCTCAATCACCCCAACCAATGAAGAAGATTCACCACTTCATTATTAATTGATCGATCGACAATCCTTAATAATAACAATAATAATAATAATAATAATAATAATAATAAAACGATAACTTGTCTCTCTCTCTCTCTCTCTTAAAAGCAACAAAATATTGTGTGTTGTTTATATTGTAAACTGCTGACATTTATAACATGGTAATGAAATAACAACAACAACAACAACAACAACAAATCAATTATTACTTTTTAACAACATTATTACACAGTGTGTAAAGCATAAAATAAAGAAGTAACTAACTAACTAACCTGTATCAGGAATATCTGACGGTCTCAAGATATTTCGTATTTGATCCATATTTTGCAAGTCTGGAGATAATCCTAACACACACCGTGCGAATATGTGATGATGATGATGTTGATGTAAGGGAAGGAAAAAGAAAAATGGAAGAACAGATAAAAAAATGCATTGATTGAACAGAATCATTTAAATAAGAAAGAAAAACAAACTGATTGAATAGATTTTGGGGCAGAGTTTTGGAGGTTTGCGTTTTTACGCATTTGAAATCATCAATCAATCAATCATTGTTACTAGACCACACCATTAGAAACCTGGAAGCACTGAAAAACGGCCGTTTCGTCCTGGTATGGGACTACTCATCAGTGGCAGTGCGCATCCACGACTCTGCTCCTTGCACGATTCGAACCCGGGACCTTCGGTATTGTGCGCGAACGCCTAACCATCGGACCGCTGAGCCGGCCGGCATCCAAGGGTGTTAATGTCTAGCTCTGATTGATCTACCGATTTTTGCGCGACCTTACCCATTTGTCTTTGGTAGTTACTGCCTACACCCGACAGGGTTCAACTCCATTGGTCACGTCTTCTCAACTAGAACTCCGAGAATTTCCTCACGAAGCTAGTCACTAGTGAGCACTGTTACGATATTTTGGGGCACAGTTCTGGAGGTTTGTGTTTTTACACATTTGAGATCATCAATCAATCATTGTTAGACCAACATTAGAGACCTGGAAGTACTGAAAGACGGCCGTTTCGTCCTGGTATGGGACTCATCAGAGTTAGACATTAACACCGTTGGATGTCGGCCCAGTGGTCCGAGTCGTGGATGCGCACTGCCATTGGTGAGTCCCACACCAGGACGAAACTGCTGTCCAGTGCTTCCATGTTTCTAATGGTGGTCTAACAATGATTGATTGATGATTTCAAATGTGATTGAATAAATTAATGAAAGCAATAATAGAGACATTTAAAAGTGAACTTTTATTTAGGTTAACCAAACAATATATATATATATATATATATATATATATATATATATATATCACAAATCTGGGAATGCGATTGTAAAAAAAAGCAACACAATACTCTACTTTATACTGTTAGTTTGCATTCATTGTCTAAGAATATCGCTGGAAAAAGTTTTATTAGACATTGAGAAATGCTAAAAAAACTACATTGACTCAGTGTGAACGCTACACGCTTATGGTAAATTCTGGAAGTCATCATATCATATCATTATCAACAGAAACGTACGAAGGTAAGTGTACGTAAGTAAGTACTATCAGTTCAAGTTGTCATACCACATTATCTCACACAGAGATGTTGTAATTGTCAATTCAAATCCTATAGTAATAAAGGTAGTAAAAGTACTAGCAGTATTCAGAGAGATTAGGATACGAAGATATTATATTCAAGGAATATAATTCAGTGAGCTAAAAGTTAGAGAGAGAAAGATAGTGGTGATGAAGAATTCAGAAGGTTAGGACTTGAGATCGTACTTCTAGGGATCAGTCCTATAGTAAGTATCACCAGGACGTCAAACAAACTCTGGAGGAGAATGTATGTTATATTTTTACCTAATCTAACTTACAAATTATTACTGTACCAGGGGGCTATGCAGATTGTTGAACTTCATTGACATTAAAAACTGATGCAAGATAGGTAGTCGTTGAAAACTTGGATGCACAGGATATGATAAACTTTAATGATGGCATTTATGACCGTATAACAATTAAACTGTATACCAATGAGTCAGTATCGAATGGTACAAGTGTCTAAATTAGATCGTCTGGTGTTATCAGTTGAATTTAGTAGCCTCGAAAATATAACACTTATAATTATGTGTTCAAATGGTGTCTAGCTCCAAGAGGAAACTCCCACGGTTCTAGTAAGAAGCCGCGACTCATGGAGTCCAATCGTATCGGGCGTGAGACAGTTAACCACCAATGACAATGAAAGATGACTGTGCAACAATGTGGATTGACTGAGGTTAGATAAGTACACCATTGGACACCGACTTAATAATGGTCTACAGGTTAAGCGTTTGCGCATCAGACTGAAGTTCCTAGATTCAACCCCCGGTTGCGACGCTGTGAATAAGCACTGAACGGAGAGTCCCATATTAAGACGAACAAATCGTCCAGTGAAATTAGGTTTCCAATGGTTGTATAACTTAGATCGGTTCATGATATCAAATAAATTTTAATGTTTAAGGGAATTCAAGGTCACGCATAAATTTCCGTGTTTAATTAAACTTATTTTTGAAGTAGATGTTTAGTTAGTAGATGAAGTGGTGAAACTTCATCAGTTGAGGTGGTTGGGACATGTGTTGCGTATGCCCAACCACCGACTGCCTCGTCGAGCTTTGTTTTGTAGTGTAGGAATAGGTTGGAAGAAAGTTAGGGGCGGCCAGACCAAAACATGGCAGAAATCCATGAAGTCACTGACAAGTGGACTTAGCCATGTCGGTAATTGTTGACTACCTGGTTGGGGTCGGCGAGATGATAATAATCGATGGCTAGAGACCTTGAATGACATGGCTGAAAATCGTTCGCAATGGCGCAAGTGCATTTATACTTTGTGTTCTCTCAAATCCTAATCTTCTGGATTCTTCAACCCCTCTAGTTTTTACTTTCTAAACTTATCTCATTGAATCATACTTCGTGAATAATATCTTCTAATTCCAACCTCTCGGATTACTTCTAATACCTTTACTACCTCTTCTACTATTGTATTTGAATTGACAATGGCGTCTCTGTGCTGATGTGGTATGGCGACATGAACTGATGTACTTACGTACGAAGTTCTACGTTGCAACTGACTGAGATGTTTAGTTACATATAACCACTATTTCATTTACACTTTACAATCAACATTTGTTGAGCTGCTGACAGTCAGTTGTATTAGTAGCAAGAGTTATTTTTCATCTAATTGGCTGGCTACTTCAATAAGCTACTATGTTCCATAGTTTTCAAGGTCGCTGCTAGAGGTGGTTGACCGAATTCACATCATATAAGATCAGTTAGTCATTAATCGATAAATAGCTGATAGGTAGTAGTAGTAGTAGTATGTTAAGTAAATGAACGGTGAATTTATTCGAAAAGTTTCGGATTAAAATAAAGTGTAAACTTCGATACAAATGTGTATTAATTAAGTACATTGGGCCAATCAGAAATCGGTTAAATGATGTGAGCACATGACTAATCAAGAACTACTGGTTTGTATTTGAAATGAATGGGATACCATCATCATCAATGGCTTAATTTTCTAAGAGGCACATATGCATGTATGAGTGAGTATATATGTAGTGAAGGAGAACACAGGTGAGGCAACCGGATGGTATTTAACGAAAATTACAGAGTTACTCAGTAAAATAGGAAAACCATATCGTAAATCGTTCATTTGCAAAATATCAATCCATCATATCGAACTGGACTGTTCCTGTTGTAAAACATCAATCCCTTGTCACTATTCATGCGTTTCATACAAATTCCATTGTTTTCTAACTCTTCCTTTCTTGATCTTCTCCCACCCTCTGCTGCCAGACATTACGTTGACACTCACGTCATATACTACTTATAAGTAGCTCGCACCACATATAGACATGCCTATTCGGTTTAGTCAATACATTTTCTTCTTACTAGATAGAGTTAGCCATGTTTAGGGGTATGTATGCATTGCGAAAACTGGGGTATCACACTACTACTACCGATCTCGGACACAATACAGTCAGTCACACAGTATGTACACTTTTAGGCGTAGTTTAAACAGTTTACAAGAAGAAGAAGAAGTACTTACCACCATGACAACAAAATATCTTAGCATCTACAATGGCGGCAATCGGTAGACAATTGAAACAGTCTATAAAAGTTTTCCATAATCGAACACTGAAACGCCGTTTACCTGTAGGGGGGAGTGAATTAAAACAAACAAACGAACAAGTGTATTTTATTAATTGAAACACAAACCCGTTTTTTTTGTATATTGTACTTTTAAAATAATTTCACCTTGAAATTAGTGTTTAATGTACTACTACTACTACTACTACTACTACTAATAATAATAATAATAATAATAATAATAATAATAATAATAATAATAAACATGATTTGAACCTAGTTCGTAGAGCTAGGCTGCATTGTCAGCCATTTACGCAAAGCAGCATGACTCAAAGTTGAATGATTACAAACTTGTGTACTTAATAAAAATGAGTTACGTGTACCAGAGTCAACCATGTTGCCTATTTCTGATAATAAATACTACACACCAAAAATCAGGTCATATATAATCAATCGTATGTAATTTAGATTGCTGCAAATTTTTAAAATCTTTTGACAAGAATGTGAACGGTATTATTTATTTGTAAGTGAATTTCAAATCTCGACTCTTTTCGCCTCCCCCCCCCAAAAAAAACCATTTTGGTTTCAGTAACCACGTGTAGTAGTAGTAGTAGTACCAGATTATGTGGGTTACAACGAAGTGTGAAAACTTCAACTTGATTAAAAATTAAATTAATAAATTATTTAGGATTTATTACAGAAGTACTCAAAATTAATTAATGGTACCAATAATAAGGGGCAACAAAAAAATAATCTTAGTGTAATAACCCTCTGTTGGGGACATTAGATCGATCCCCCCCCAGAACTCATTTGGAAAAGGTCCTAATTTTGTATTTTTTATGACTGAAATTTTGAATTTCTATGTTTTCATCATGTCAAGAGGCGCTTTAGTTGACAGACCTACAGCTTACATTTCTCACTCGGAAATCCTTGACTGTCATTGGTTGACGGACTTTTTAGTAGGCTATTTTGTGGCTCTCATCAAAGGGCGTCTCTCTATCATTGTATAAAAATAAGCTTGATTTGTGTGCTTAACACAACCTCGGATTTTCTGGGTGCTTGTAGAATACATTCTCTACTCGTTAACAAAACTTCTTAAGTAGGACCGTGGACAATCGGATTAGAATAGCCTATCATGTCACTGAGTCATTGCTCTTCATTCCATTTGCCGAGTAAGGTGAAGAACTCGTAATAGTTTCGAGCATATCACCCTCAACGTAGAGAACTGTCATCGATTGATAAGATAATCAATAACGATAAAAATTATATAGCTTCAAGTCAACTGAAATATATCACAGATACGCAAGTCCAAAACACTGACAAGAGAATTATGATGAACAAGCCATCTCTCTTTGAGTTATTCATCAGGTACATTGTCGATAACACACAACTATTAAAAGCTATCACTGAACATGATGGTTGGTACTTACTACCTATTTTGGAAATGAAGTTATTTGCACTTTACTAAATCAATGGATCGGCGTATAAAGAAAAAGAATCCGAAGTTTTATCGAATTCTAAGATTGTCAGTCAGTCGGTTGCAACGTAGAGCTTCGTACGTATGTACATAAGTTCAGGTTGCCATACCACTTTAGCACAGAGACGCAAATGTCAAATCAAATTCCATAGTGATAAAGATAGTAGAGGTATTAATGGTAATGAAAAAGAATAGGGTTTGAAGATATTATTCAAGAAGTATAATCTAGTGAAATAAGGTTAGAAAGACAAAGGTAGAGGTGCTGACGAATCTAGAAGATCAGGATTTGAGAGAGCTCAAAGAACGGATGCACTTGCGCCATTGCAAACGATTTTGAGCCATATCGTTCAAGGCCTCTAACCATTGGTGACTTTCTTTTCGCGGACCCCAACCAGGTAGTCTACATCTACCAACATGACTCAGTCCACTTGTCAGTCACTTCATCGATTTCTGCCATGTTTAGATCTGGCCGCCCCTAGCTTTCTTACAATCTACTCCTACACCACAAAACATAGCTCGTCGAGGCAGTCGGTGGTTAGCCATACGTAACACATGTCCCAACCACCTCAACTGATCAAGTTTCACTACTTCATCTATTGATTTGCCATCCTTACCTAGCACCCGTTTTCTAACGACAGCATTGCTTATTCGGTTGTCCCACGGTATACGAGCAATGCTTCTTAAACATCTATGATCGAATACTAGTAACCTACGAACATCTACTCTTAACGGCCATGTTTCACAGACATATAGGAGAACGGAGCGAACTGCTGCGCAGTACACCCGTCCTTTGGTTAGCGTACGGATATCACGCCTACGCCATAAGTGACGCAGGTTGGCAGAAGCCAATCGAGCTTTCTGTATCCGCGCTGAGATTTCGTCAGTCACCAGGCTATCAGCGCTGATGAGACTCCCCAGATAAGTGAAGTGATCAAAACGCTCGACTGTTTCCACAGCCTTCTTGATATCATTCCAAGCTGACTGCGGATGGGAATCACTTGCGTGGTTGATAGGAAACCCTAACTGTTTAAACTAATGAAGAGGAATGGTCAATAGAAAGAAAAGGTATAGATAGGTTTTAGGTGTCCGGAAATATCATTCAATCATATAAAATACCCGATTCAAGTATGTCGAACCTTCGACAGCATATACAAGAACGACTTGCAAACTGTATTACTGAGATGTAAATTAGATTGCATAAAATGCTGATATCATCATTATTATTTTCTCTTCAGAGATGAATCTCAGTATTCTCATTTATTGGAGATACCCGAGTGGATGGGCGGCTTAATATACTTACTCCTTGTGAAATGTTTCCTTTTCTTTAGACTTTAGTAAACAATTAATCTGTAGGTTTTGCGTTTCGATCAACTGAGTTGCTTCAGTCTTTATTAAAGACTATACTATAGTTAACGAAATTTAAGTAAGAAAGAATAAAACTCCAATCTATACTCACTTAATTGAAACACCAATCTTTAAATTATATTAGCTCATAACATTGTGTGTAAAAACTAACATATTTAACAAAACTTACACATGAATAATGATCACACTCTCACATAGTAAGTAACGCTTGAAGTCTTAGTTGTAATAAACATCACAGCACACTTATTAACACTATTGCGTTGAAAGTTATACTTGAATAATAATATAAAGTTGCACGAAATAATAAATATGAAATGTGGAAGCAATAGACGGCTGTTTCGTCCTGGTACGGGACTCATCAGTGGCAGTGCGCATCCACGACTCCAGCACCTCGCAGTGGTCCAGAGGTTAGGCGTTCACGTGCAAGACCGAAGGTCCTGGGTTCGAATCCTGCGAGGTGCAGGAGTCGTCGATGCGCACTGCTACTGATGAGACCCATACCAGGACGAAACGGCCGTCTTTCAGTGCTTCCAGGTTCCTGATGGTGGTCTAACAATGATTGATTGATTGATGATTTCAATGTGCAAATAAAACACTAATCTCCATTACTCTAATTGAAAAATATGAAACTGGCTTTATGAAATATTAATGGAAATCGGGCGTAGACGGATTGTACGATGCTACGGTCTAATTTGAATAAATATTTACCAAATCTACTAACAAATGGCATACAGTAATAATAATGTACTGAGAAAAAATGAAGGCACAGTGTGAATGCTTATTTTTAAAAATATATATATATATTTAGAAACCATTTTTAACCTTCATTGTTATTAACTAAGTCGTGATGCCAAGTTTTTCAAGGTTAAACAGAGTTGTATTCTGATGAGAATTAATCAACAAAGATTGTAAACAAGTGTAGTCTAGAATGTTAATTATCAATAGTCAATTGAAGCAAATTTTTCCTGTACTATGTATGATTAATCAATCAGTCAGTGACAATGTAGAACTTAGTACATAATATGTATGTACATTGGTTCAAGTTGTCATAGGTATTCTGCGTTCTTTAAAAAAACCCAGATATTGTTTCATTTGTAATATACAAAAACATAATGAAATGAGATAATGATAACAGAAAAAGTGTATTAATAAATGTCTAGAAGTAAAAAGTATTTTATTGATGATGATTACTACTTACATTCATCATAAAATCCATATATCCGATTAATGGCAGCACATTCATGATTGCCACGTAGAAGGAAAAAATTTTCTGGATGTTTTATTTTATAAGCAAGCAGAAGGCAGATAGTTTCTAAACTTTGCTTTCCTCTATCCACATAATCTCCAAGGAATAAGTAATTAGATTCTGGAGGAAAACCACCGTATTCGAAAAGGCGTAATAAGTCTGTATATTGACCGTGGATATCACCTGTACGAATATATATATATATCGATATTAAATTTTATTAAACAATTGAATAAAACGACAGATATCTATAATTTATAACGTTACGAAACATGGATGAATTATTGTTTACAGAAATGTTTATATCTACATTTGAGAAAAATATTATCAATTCGTAGGTTACTAGTATTAGATCACAGATGTCTTAGAAGCATTGCTCATGTATCCTGAGACAACCGAGTGAGCAATGCTGTGGTTAGGAAATGAGTAATAGGTAGGGATGGCAGATCAATAGATCAAGTGGTGAAACTTCATCAGTTGAGGTGGTTGGGACGTGTGTTACGAATGCTCAATCACCGACTGTCTCGAACAGCAATGTTTTGTTGTGTAGGGGTAGGTTGGCAGAAAGCTAAGTGCCGCCACACTATAAGATGGCACAAATCTATGAAGTGACTGACAAGTGAACTGAGTCATGTCAGTAGGTGTCGACTACCTAGTTGGGATCCGTGAGACGAAAGTCACCGATGGTTAGAGACCTTGAGTGACATGACTCATAGTTGTTTGCAATGGCGCAGGTGCATTCACACTTTGTGTTCTCTCAAATCCTAATCTTCTGGTGTTGGTGGGATATAGATGGAATTAAAGCATGACCACGATTGGCTAATTTCCTATCCAATCAGCGCCTGAACGATTCTTGGAGAACAGGGTAGAAAATTTTCGTATTGTTAGCTGCGTGCTGATTGGTTAAATTTAATCCAGTCGATCACGTGAATTTCTATCCAGAAGCTTCTCATGTAAATGCTATAAATAACTAACGTTGTATCTATTTTTGCTTTCGCCTTCGACATCACCTTTGGCTTCTTATTTCCATTTTACCTTGCCATTTGGGATATAATCTTTTCTTGTTCAACCGTGTTTTTGATTCTTTGGAACTTGTCCAGTGTATTGTGGTCAGAGACTACTAAGCAATAGGATTTAGCTGGGAATTATTTAAGCAAGCGTTACAACATCTGGATTCGTCAATACCTTTACCTTCGTCTTTCTAGCTTATCTCACCGAGTTATACATCTTGAATAATATGTTCAATTCCTAATCTTCTCTAATACCAGTAATATTTCTATTATCCCTACCACTATGGGATTTGAAGTGACAATTGCGTCTCTGTGCTAATGTGGCATGGCAACATGAACTGATGTACTTACGTACGAAGTTCTACGTTGTAACTGACTGACTGACTGGTTGACTGACCTGAATAGTGTGTCAACCAAGTAGAGCTCGGTGTTCCCCACAAGAACAACCTAACCCACACACTAGAAGTTAGAGATTGAGTACCGACATAAGATAAGTATCAATTACATAGGGTTAAACGAAGCTTTATCCAGTCCAGCCAGCTATTTTCATAAGTCTATCAGAATTGATAGATTAGCGATACCATGGTGGATGGACCATATTACCTAGATACTTCAATATTTACATAACATCGATAATGTGCAACCGTATTCCTGCTACACTAAACATTTGGAGTTTGGTTTGTCAATCGACTTCACTGTTAAGGGACTAAAATTTCGTAGCGTTGATGCTCAGGATAGCCTTTCCAAAAGCCACTGCTACTGAGTTGTTGTTTCGCATCCACATAGTGGTTCTTGTGAATAGCAATGTATCGTCCGCAGAAATCGAGTCACCCATTCTTCCGCCTACAATATTAGCTTAATAATTAACATCGGTTGTGCGGATAACTTCATCCATACAAATGATGAACAGAAGTGGCGAAAAGAGATCAACGTCTTGCCTACTTGCACGGTTCGACTACACACTTTCACCATGGGTGACTTGTAATAACTGAAAATGTAAACCACTAGGAGCAATGGAGCCAAGCATGATTTACCAACACGAGTTAGCGGAGAGTGAGTGAATAACCGAGCCGGATGCCTTGGAGACGTCCGTATTTGAGGAAGGCCTGTAGGTTGGTGCAGACGACTTCGTGATGAATTGAGTGAGACTGTTCTTAATATGTTAAGAGGAGCGATCAAGCGGCACCTTTCAGGCCTGCACTGGACCCCTTTGAATACTTCTAACGAAATGAGCGGCGGTGCTGCCGAACATTAGTAATCAACGGATGAGGTGTAGAACTCCATTCAATGCCACACGAATGTGTTGCGCAGTGTTATTCAGACCTGTGCTGTATAAACGAGCTTATACTCTACAAACTGCAAGGACGAGTGCCGACCAAGGGCGGAATCCCCTGACTAAGTATGTGAGGGAGTCCTTTTCGCACGGTAGGGATAGGTTGAGGTACAAGGTCCAGCCGCGGAACGCATTACGTGGGACTTGAAATGTTCCGGGGGATGTGGTATGATCGTTTTTAATTATCTTGCAAGTATGCAAGTGCCTAGCGATTACGAGTCAGCAGTCACAACCAAGTAATTTCCAAATAGGAAGGTTCTCGGGGGTCGTTAGGGTTCTTAGCGTTGAGAAAAGTCCATGTCGCTAACCAAAGTCATCACCAACAAAGGTGATCCGGTGTAGGTTTTGGATGGCACCAATTGTTTGAACGACATACTGAGGGCGTACAAGAACGCTAAAGTCCAGAAATACAACCGACCGGATTCGGACAGTAGGTATTTATTCAGAGTCAATAACTAAGTCAGCTCGGCATGTACGGTTCAGCATTCGCCAGCGGTTAGAACCAAGCGATGCTTGATGGTCAGTCAGTTACAACGTAGAACTTCGTACGTGCATACATCAGTTCAAGTTGCCATAACACATTAGCACAGAGATGTAATTGTCAATTCAAATCCCATAGTAGTAGAGTTAGTAAGAGTATTAGCAGTAATCGAAGAGATTAGGGTTCGAAGATATTATTCAAGAAGTAGAATCTAGTGAAATAAACTTGAAAAGAAAAAGATAAAGTGATGAGGAATTCAGAAGGTTGGGATTTGAGAGAACACAAAGAATGAATGCGCCTGCACCATTGTAAACAACCATGAGTCATGTCAATCAAGGTCCCTAATCATCGGTGACTTTCGTCTCACGGATCCCAACTAGGTAGTCGACAACTACCGACATGACTCAGTTCACTTGTCAGTGACTTCATGCATTTGTGCCATGTTTTGACTTGGCCGCCCCTAGCCTCCTGCATACTTCTACACCACAAAGCATCGCTCTTCGTGGCAGTCTATAGTCAGGCACAAGTAACACAGGTCCCAACCACCTAAACTGAAGTTTCAATACTTAATCTATTGACCTGCCATCCTTGCCTAGCACCCGTTTCCTAACAACATCATTGCCTACTCGGTTGTCCCATGATGACCTGACAGTAGCTGTTATCTTGCCGTGGTGGTCGGGCTTGCCTACCGTGATGACCCAACCAAGCTATATTGGCTGGAACGTATATTCCCTTAGGTTCTACCATGCCAGGCAGGTCGATTGGAGGACGATCAGACAAAAATCAACGACTCAATGTCTGAGGGCGAAGTCGTACTGCTGACTGTTGAGGGATATGACAGCAGTAAGGTGTTTCCCTCCGACAACCAGCATCTACAGCGATGCTGCCCTCTCACAAGGAAGGTAAGGGTTAGAAAATGTCGACCCTAAAAATGTCACACCTCACCTTACCTCACTGATTTCCTTCTCCGGTGGTAAAGGCTTTAAAAAAGAACGGAGCCAACACTTCAAAAACTTCCCATAAAAAGGCCCCCCAACATTCCCCTTTTCTTTATGACTAACTCTTCTCACATTCCTTTATCACCCCGCACCTCTGATACAAACGATTCGAGTTCCCGACAAGTGATTCCTGGTCTCTTGAGACCCCGTTTAAAACTACATGTTAGAGCTTTTAATGTACGAACATTGTGTCAACTAGGGCAACAGGCTTCGTTAGCTAGGAATTTAGGATCTCGAACTATCGATGTATGCTGCGTCTCGGAAACGCGAATACAGGATCCGAGTAGCGTCATTCACTTGACCACTCCATGTCAAGATAAAGAAGCAACTCGTTTCACTCTTCGTGTATCTGGAAGCCCTGATGCTGCTTCCTGTTGCCTAGCTGGCGTAGGTATAGTAAAGTCCTAAAGCAGAACTAACTCTCTTAGACTGGATCCCGGTGGACAGTCGCTTATGCGCCGTCCGACTAAACGGGACAGTAAGGACTCGTAAAGATAGGGACACTCACCGTCGCCTCTTCATCGTATCTGCCTACGCTCCCACTGGCTGTAGTTCAGATGAGGTGAAAGATGAGTTTTACAGAAAGCTTCCGAACCTCCAAAAAGTTAGACACTCTGATATAGTAATAATGGCTGGTGACCTTAACGCTCAAGTATGTAGAATGGGTGGAAAGGAAAGACACCTGGGTAGATGTTATGGTGTCGTGGCTAACAGAACAGATAATGGCGACCGTCTGTTGCAACTATGCTCATATAACCGCTTATTTCTAGCAAACACTGACTTTGAGCATAAGGTAAAACACCTTTTGACCTGGAGACCCCCAAAGTTGTCCCAACGCTGGACCCAATTAGATCAAATTGCCATCAGCCACTGATGGATGAGTTCGATAGAGGACTGTCGCTCGTTCTGGGGCATATGTCTAGATTCAGATCATGCCCTAGTGCGAGCGTGTATTTGTTTGCGGCTTACTGGACGTACGAAACACCGCAAGGAAACTTCTTAGGTTTGTTCTTAATGATAGTACAGCTAAAAATATATTTCAGGAACAGCTAGAAAAACAGTTAAGCAGCTTGGAATGATATCAAAAAGGCTGTGGAAACAGCAGTGATATCTTCTAGTAGGGTAAACCTTAAGGTTAGGGAGAAGCCGTGGATTTTAGTAGCATCTACCGAACTGATGGATGCTCTTAAGCTCATCCCTCCTGGCCCTGAGTACGATGAGGAACGGAGTCAGCTCAGGCGCAGGCTGATAAAAAGCCTTCTCAATCATCGAGAACAGTGGTGGGTAGCAAATGCAAGGGAGATGGAAAAGGCAGCGCCGATAGGCAACAGTAGACAACTATTCAGACTTATCAGGGAAACCGGTATTAGGAACCCGAATGTGAGTGAAACTATCGCAGAAAAGGATGGGCTTATGATTCATTTTCAAGCCACGAGATTGGATAGATGTGCAGAACACTTTAGGGTTTAGTTCAACTGGCCCTCTGCCACATTTCGGTTGCCCACGATCTCCAGTCAACCTGGATGGTAAATCGACGTAAGTCCTCCAAGTCCTTATGTAGTTGAAAAAGCTATAGGAAATCTGAAGCGAGGTAGAGCAGTGGTTCCTGATAGGCTAACCCCTGAGATTTTCAAAGATGGTGGTCCAGTTTTAACAGCTAGATTGACTGAGATCTTAGGTCTAACTAATATAGTTCCTAAATTGTTAGCCTCGATTTTAATTAGACGCCTAACTAGAGCTCGTGAAGAGCGGACTAGAGAAGATCAGGTTGGTTTCAGACTTGGACATGGGTGTACAGACCACATTTTTACACTACGACAGGTCCTGGACCACAGACACACAGGCGTCCGACGATAGTTGTCTTCCTCGACCTAAAGGCGGCATTTGACTCTGTGGATCGTGAGGTTCTGTGGCAGTCTGTCATTAAAAGGTGTACCAAAGAAGTACATTAACCTTATACAAGCTCCCTACTCGAACACTACACGTTGAGTTAGAGCTTATGGCGAACTGTCATCGGAATTCTTTACTTCAAGTGGTATCCGTCAAGGATGTACACTTTCCATATTCTTGTTTAATCTTGTCATAGTCATGCCTTTGGATATAACATTATCTTCGTCGGGATAGTTAGGAGTAGACCTTCTACCAGGAGATTCATTTGTTGACTTAGAATATGTCGATGACATAGTTCTATTTGGTGAAGACACTGACAAAAGGAAGTCTTTTGACTACACTAAGAAACAATGCAAGCATGTTCGGGATGCGATTCTCCCCGTTCAAAAGACCTTACCGCCAGAGACGGAAATCAGTGAGGTAAGGTGAGGTGTGACATTTTTAGGGTCGACATTTTCTAACCCCTACCTTCCTTGTGAGAGGGCAGCATCGCTGTAGATTCTGGTTGTCGGAGGGAAACACCTTACTGCTGTCATATCCCTCAACAGTCAGCAGTACGACTTCTCCCTCAGACATTGAGTCGTTGATTTTTGTCTCATCGTCCTCCAATCGACCTGCCTGGCATGGTAGAACCTAAGGGAATATACGTTCTAGTCAATACAGCTTGGTTGGGTCATCACGGTAGGCAAGCCCGACCACCATGTCAAGGTAGCAGCTACGGTGGAGTAAATAGAAAGTCGGAGACCAGCCCACTTAAATTAGGTTTACAGAAGCACGAAACTGAAAGAAGTTAGAGGAGAGGTAACCCCACGATTTCTGCTATTTGCAGGGATAGTCGCATTAATCTCAAAACGGCCCTGAACTACCAGTTAGAGAAGCACATATCTAGAAATTGATCATACTCTAGCACGAACATGCATTTGATGCGTCTTACTGAAAGCAAGAAAATTTCTCATAGTTCAACTTAACGGTGGAAAAGTCCAGAGCAGAGATAAGTCAGTTAGTCGTCAGTGATCACTCCGATGTGGGCTGGCATGATATCCAAACAAGAGTGATATCTAAGGGTGACCACAATTAAAAGGTTGAGGAAAGTCAGTGAATCACAACAACGTCTAGTGAACTGACAGATGCTTAGAAACTCATTCTGCCAGGCTCTGAACATGACGAGGGGTAATAGGAACTTAAACGTAGACTAACAAAAGGTTTATACGGCGATCGTGAACCAAGGTGGGCAGCTAAGGCAAAAGCGGTAGTGATAGGAAATAGTAGACAACTTTTTAGACTCTACATCACTCTAGATAATAGTTTAACTGCTCTATAGTTCCCCTTTAATTGCCTACTTTCAGCAAAAAACCTGAACCGAGTGTTAACACAAACCTTTAAATTTTTAAGCAAGTAAAAATAGACAGTTAATTTAAAGCAGAGAACAGCAGGTACTGATGGGTTAACCCCTGGGATTTTTAAGGATGGTGGTCCAGTTTCAGTTTTTATACTTACTGATAAGGGAACTGGAGTTTGGGATTAGAACATGTTCTCCTCTGAGTGCTTTCGACAACTGATCGTTCCAGTTCGTAAGAAAGAACGAAAATCGTAAAAGAATCAGTTTGACTAACACAATATCTAAAATATTGGCTTTAATAATCATTTAACGTTGAACTGGGGCTCGTGAGAAGCAAACCAGGAAAAATAAGGCTGGTTTCAGAGCTGAGGGAGGATGTGCAAACCAAATATTCATCATTCATCAGGTCTTACAAAGAATATATCTACTGATGACGAATTATCATTGGGATTTAACTCCAAGTAGTGTGTCGTCGTTCACCCGAGATCTTTATCTAATTTTGTCATAAACGATCCTCTAGCTTTGGCTTATCAGGAATCAGTCCTTCATTGAGAGATTTTGATGGCACAGATGATACAGTTCATTTTTGATACTTAAAAATGTTTGTTTTCAGAACGCCTTAGTCGAAAATGGAAGCATGTTTGGTGTGTGTTCCCTCTCCGCTAATTTCTATCAAACTATTCATTCAGATGTTGACGGGCATCTGCGTGATTCCCCTAACCCTCAGAAAACTTATGGACATATGAACGAATAAGCTACAGAAATTTGAAGAGTTAAGTAAACTTAACATCAAAAACCTCAAAATTGCGCAAAATGATGTATTAGCTGGCAGGTAGTTTGTTACACTCACTGGAGATATCAGTGAAGTCAAGCATTGGGAACTATTTAAGACCGGGGGAACGAAATGCACGCAATATATTCGAGCCCTTAAGAAAAAAATAATAACACAGCAACCGAAATAAAAGAATGCCTGAGAATACCAGAAAATCACCATAATGGTGTAAAAAAGGCGATAAGGTAACACTGGACACCAACCACTTATAGTGTCTGGCCTAAGCCCAACTATGCAATCAACTATCATAAGCTTTGTAGCAAACAAAACACGTGCAGAAGATACTCAGCATATTAATGATCATAAAGGTATCTTCATTTGACAAGATGGTTATGTATTCACAAATTATTACTGGGAAACTTACCACAAATTTTCAAAGGAGCTTTTAATTCCAATAGGATAGGTTGTGATAAGAAAATTTGCCTTGAGGTAACACATAAATACCGGACTTCTTCTTCCTTCATATTTACAGTTGTCCCAGGTCTGGAGGACCGTACTTAAAGTAGGATGTAAGCTTTTAAAAGAACTCACCTTCCAGAAGTCTGCTAATGAGCTCATCTACGTCTACTTCTGATGTCATAAATAGGGGAACGACTTAAACAGAAAACTTTCAAAATCTGTGGAGTCCCGCAAACTAAGGTCATCACACAACTGTAATTATTTAAAGAAATCATATCAAAAAATGTACTACGCCTAAAAATATTTCGAATCGGATTAATATTTTTTGCGTCACTAATACTGAAAACCAACTTTATTCGTTTATTACAAAAGGTAAAATAGGTAAGTGGTAAATTGCTTGAATGCATACATCATCAGTGAAAAATGATTCCGATGAAACAACAGTAACCTGAAGTTTTGGGAAGCGACTCAAGAGCACATTGAAATTCTTTACTACCTGTAGGCTGTAATCTATGATTTCCAAAGAACCAGACGTTAGGATGTGGTTAACCAAATTCCTCTGACCTATGACAATATCCTGTAACTATTATTTCTCAAAAACCCACCCAGACTTAAGTAGCCTAATACTAAACAGTTATTTATCAATATCTATCTTTGATAATTTCGTTAATAAAACCAACACAGTCAAAATTTCCAGGATGTATGTTTGTAAGAGTATACTGATTAGCTCCAGATGAACCTGCAGTGGTATACTTTTACGAAGATAACACAGTTGCTCATTTATAAACATTTATTATTGTACTTAATTCTGAAAATAACTGTTCTATTGTACTCCTTTTCTTATCTGTACGAAAGACTATCTCTCGCGCGTGTCATTCACATTCCGCTTCTCTCCTCGCTGGTTGCTAGCGGCTTCTTTATTCCGGTCGTGATATTATTTCAATATCAGAAGACCACGGAACAATATGCTTCTTCTTCCAGAAAGTATACCCGTTCTGACATATCAGGATTTAACTTGATGATCTCGCGAAGAAGAACATATACCATCTCGCTATAAACCAAAGATGAATAACAACCAACAGGATTTCATAATAGACTCGGGGATCATAAAACTCTTGTATGGTCATTTAGAGTTCGGCCACATGTAGTTTGCAGTGGTGACATCCATTACTCACTCAGTTCCGTAAAAGAACAATTATCTCGGACGCTGGAATTTTCTACTACAAAAGCTGAAAAATCACTGTTCAATGTCCAATTTCTTTTTCACCAGCTATTATAAACCAGTTGATTTATTTTGACTCGATTCTTGTTCTTTCGGTACGGTTCCAGGTATTTGATAGTGTCTAATGAATGGGAGTCTAGCCACTCGACTGTCTAATTTTAGTTAGTTGCCATTTGGTTGGGTTCGTATGTCCCGTATTTCAGGGCAGTGGGGCTTCTGGATACAATCAGCTATCACATTACCAAACTGGAGATCAGTTAGTTGCAATGTGGAGGATAATAAGGCGAAAAGTCTAATGGTGATAAGAATAAGATAATAGGCCCAATAGATTAATTTAGTGATTTGAGAAGATGGAAATAATAACGACTAACAGGTCTCAAGATATGCGTCATACACAGTTTATCCTCGAGCAAGATGATAATACGTAAGTGAGTACATGATTATCAGGTTTCTTCTTAAGTCTGTCCACTGAGAAGGCTGTGGTCACCTCGGCTGGGAGGGCATTCCATGTTACAACGACTCCTGATGAGAAAAAGTGTGCACGAACCTGAGTGTTAGCTCTTCGATGCGCGATTTTTCGAGGATTGACTAGCGAGAAGTGGTGGTGATGCATCAGCAAGGTGTTCAAGTTGGGATGGTTTGGCTTGCTTAATATGTTGTACGCCATAATCGGACCACCTCTGATTCTCCTGTAACTCATGGAGAATAATCCTAAATGCTGGAGGCTAACTTCGTAAGTTTCATCTGTCAACCCTATCACCTAGTTCGTTGCTCGATCCAAGAGATACTCCGGTGATACTCCGGTTGGTTGATTTTTAGACCGTTTTTCACTTCCGATTCCTCAATAGACGTAAGGTCCTTTTGAAGCTCAGTCGAATCCTCTTCGCCTCTAATGGACCTCCAGATCTTTTCATCGTCTGCATAGATCAATGCAGGTGAGCTAACTGAGCGTAACAAATCGTCAATAAATGTCAGGAAGAGAAGTGGACCTAAGATAGTCCCCTACGAAACTTCCGATTTCGGATACTCACCAGCTTGCGTGCACTCTACTTACCTTGGTACGAAACTCCCTATTAGGCGTGCGTGGGGTTCTGTGTCGAAGGCTTTTGAAAAGTCGAGAAATATTACGTGCACCAGCAACTTCCGGTCCGGATGTCCAACTGTCCCAAGCTATGAGAATATTAGATACACACGACCTGCCTTTCCGAAACCCGTGCTGAGCTTCATGGAGTATTTTATTCTCATCTATGTACTCCCTTATTTGTTCGTTCACCAGCTCCTTCATCACCTTTGATAATATCGGTAGTAATGCTACTGGTCTGTAACAGGCTGGGTCCTTTCTGTCTCCTCCTTTGGAGATTGAAGCGAGAGAGTAGCTTGTTTCCACCCAGCTGGGAGTTGGTGTGAGTCCAGTGGATGCCTGAACAGGCCTTATATCGGTGAAAAGAGGGCTTCTGTACACTACTTCAAGACTATGGGGCGAAAACTGTCACAACCTGGTAACTATCCAGGGCGTAAGAATTTTAGTTTCATTAGTACTAAGTCAGGAGTGATACGGATATTCTCTAAGTCGTCAGCTGGCAATTGGTTGGCGTAGTACTCTGAACATGTGGGCGCCTAATCTAACTGATCAGAAAAGTTGGTGTTGAAGACCTCGGCCATCTCTAGGTTTGTGAGATCTTCCCCGTTTAGTCCTTTGAGAGAACACAACCCTCTTTTGGACATGAACCTAAACAGATGCTTCGGGTTTGCCTCTATTTTGGCAGCTAGCTTCATCTAAAATTGTCTCCTACCACTTCGAACTTTGGTATTGCATCTGTTTCTCAGTGCCAAGTAAGAACTACGGTCGGAATCTTTCAAGGAGATCTTTCATGCCAAGCTCTCCTCTTCGCCCGTAATAAGCGTTCAGAGCCGCGCCTAACGCATGTTCTTCTATATCCGGGTGTGTGGTGTGACTGTGGTACATTGCTAAAGACAGCATTCCAGATGATGTCTCACGCTGTTTGCCAGTGATCATCTACTATCAGCCTCCACCACTCCCGTGGTTATGGTGCATGTAGAAGGATATCTCTCATACGCGTATAATTTGCTCTGGTGTAGCAGAGATAAGGCTCATTTTAGCCCTGTGTGAGTGTTTCGTGTATGACGCTGTTAAATAAGACTGTGCCGTGGTCATTGCTTCCTACTGGTGTATGAACGCGAACATCCTCAACCGGGAGCTGATCATTCGCTAACAAATAATCCAGGTTTGAGGAATATCCTTCCTTAGTCCATCTAGTGGCGCTGTATACGTGCTAAGTAAGCCAAGAGTTGCTAATGGCTGTGCCAATTCGTCTTTTGAACCAACCAGTGGGAGTTGTACCCTGACTGCTGAGATTTAGAGATGGGGTATTGAAATCCTCAATCATTACCACGTAAATTGCCTAAAAGGAGTCAATCTGCATGCGCAAGTCATTTTCCTGATGCAATAAATATTACAAGCAGCGATTATAATAAAGGTAGAAGGGTGAATAGATCTCATTGTAATTTCCTAAGAGGAAATCCAATGGGGCCTAACAAAACTGGGCATAACCAGATTGGTCAAGCTACGGTTGTTTCGGTGGTGGGTAGCATCCAGAATTGACCAAACACTTTTTTCGACATTCTGACTACATAAGAACAGTAGTTATAGTGAGCGTGTTCTACAAATCACTGGCTTATTTACTGCGAGTCAGCTGTAGAATACTCTCAAGATTACTGGTGGAGATCCGCTAAGTTGACTCTCAGCTTCAGTACATCAGTCGATGATAGTCATATGTTTCTTGTGGTAGTAATCGATCCGTTGGTAATCCTTGGTTGTATGATATTCGAGGGAGTCCATCACCGATGGTTGTATCGATTGGGTATTTTCAATTGGCGTACGGCTCCGTGCTAGTAACCTTGAATCATTTGGTTATTTCCTATGGGTTCACGATTCACTCCGTGCCCTATCCAATGTTTTGCGAACTAAGTAATGTTCTACTGGATATTTATATATGCACAGAAATACTTGACTGCATTAAGCGAATGGATGTAAAATTACAATTATACACGAGGAAGCTAGCACTGACAGTGATCTGGGAGGTCTGTGAATAACAAACTAGCAACGGAAGAAAAATAAGTCCAGTAGCAGTAGTGGTTCAGTCTATTGAAGGCTCGTGATAAAAGTAATATATGTATATCATAATCTAATTATTAATTGAACAGCGAAAAATGGAATAATATCACATTAATTAATACTACCGGTTAACATTCTGTTGGTGTTTGTCAAATATAACACATGTTACCAACTTTGCATTAAAAATCGTTCAGTTGAAATTGTGAAGAAGACTATGATTACTATGATATGTCTAAACAAAGCGAGAAAACTCCACATCAAATCGAGTTATGACCGAAAACAAATGTTTTATTAGAATGGCGGCGGTTGTCTATGAAAATCATCAGCTGCCTTTCTTTGTGAAAAAGCGTCCGCATATGTTATGGCAAGTTTTCGAAACCTGGTGGCTTACCAATTGTAACAGCGCGTGTCGATTAATAAAGGTCCCCACTACAGACCATTTACATTCTCGTCACTAAATATATTATCTCCGTAAATCGAGGACAGAGGAAAAAAGTAAATCCACACAAAGGTGTATATTTGCTGGCGATTTCGTGATATCGAAGGGATACCGAAATCGTGCCAGAAGAGAAGGGCAAAGTCACAGTGATCAGTATAACCGAAAATTGCAGCAACACAAAAGGAAAGTTTGCGCGTACAATGTACGAATAAAAAAGGTTCAGTAAAACAATAATTGACACAATTGATACAATAATGAATTTTTCTATTAAATCAGTCTCTCTCTCTTCATAAAAGTGAATTCAATTCAAACTAAAATAGTACCAAAATTGATAAGTACCCTAAATACAGCTTTATAAAAAGTTCTGAACAATTGGGTTCTAAGACTCAATATAGAAACTTCGAAATGACATCTAAATAGCGTTTGTGCTTAACTTCGTACGGGTTTTCTCGCCAATAT